GAACACCTCGGAGTGGGGCTCGATCTCAAGGTCCAGAAACGACGTTGGACTAGCCAGGCGGCGCGGTTTAGGTGGTTTAGCAGCCCAGTCAGACAGCCTGGATCCATCCCAGACTTTACGCTGCGCGCCGTTTGGCTTGGAAACAGCAAAAATGCTTCCAACCGCTTTGGCCTCAGGGAGCAGTCGAAGTTTCCGGCATCTCAGCTCACGGATGCAAAGGCGGACATACTCGTGCCTGTCTGCTTGGTTGACGGCCGCACTATCATTGTCCAAAGCAGCTGCACCCGGAAAGATTCTAGCTGCATCGGAAATGTTTTCAACCAGGTCAGCCGATATCAAGGAGCAGGGGTCGCACGTCCCGGCTTCTGCCGGCAAGTCCACGTCTTCGCTGCGGATCTTTTCGCAGTTAAGTGAAGTGGAAGCCTCGCAAGCACTGAAGGCTCCAGGCCAAGCGAGTCCCATCGGCAGGCCTACATCCAGACGGCACAAAAACCGCACAACCTGCCGACAAATGTGTCTGTGTGCTTCAGTTTGCGCAAGTGTAGGACGTCTTGAAGTCGGGAACTGAGGATTGTATTCCTTGACACCAGCATTCAAGCAGTTCAGTGCAGCGATGCACATGTTGCTGACCTGGAGGCAGGCAGCAGTTTCGAAGTGCTCGACGACAACATCCTGCGGCCACTGCTGCAAAACAGGCAGTGGCAGCAGCTCCCGGCTCCGCGGCCTTTCCAGCGCTGGAGCACTTCTCAACCAGTCGCAGCAAAAGCGGCTGACGGTGGAGTGCTGTTGCTCGAGCAGCGCTTTGAGGGTACTGCAGTAAGTGGTAGAAGCTCTTGCAGCCTTCACCGCGGGAGCACAGGTACGCGCTGTCGGCTTTAACACTGTGGAGAGCTTTCTGATCAGGCAATGCTTGATTGCCCTCCATTTGTTTCTCGCCTGTCGAGCAGGTGAACTCCGGCTGGTGCAGGCCATATTAATCCTTTCCCTTTGGGCGGCAAGGACAGCAGCAGACGAAACAAACCCACCCACAGCGGGGAGCACATTGGTGCCTCGGCACCTTTCCATGCCCCGGTGACTACATTTCGGCCTGAAGTGAGAGCTTGACACAGGAAGAAAAGCAGCGAGACAGTTGAACCTCAACTGCATGTCCTGTGTCTCACGCTAGACGAAAAGCCAGAGAACATTCCACCGCTCGAACGACAATAGCCCAGTCAACCCTAAACCGAGCTTCGGAGAGGAGGGCCAGAGCTGCTGCCCACTGGCCCGTCTCTTCGCAGGCTCGCAGGGCGACGCTAAAGCCTGGGTTCTTGAGTAGCCTCTGTTAACGAGGATCTACAAGGGCTCCTTTAAAGGGATCTATAAGGGTACTATAGGGGTTTAGTGTTTATAGGGGCTACTATACTAGATTTTGATCAATAAGGGTACTATAAGGGTTTAGTTCTTCTTAAGAACTTAATGTAACTTACCACTGTTGGGATCTATAGTGAATAAGATGGTTCCTTATTCTGGTAACTTAAATATAAGCCTAGGTTTTCTGAGTAGCCCCTTCATGAATAAGGGCACCCTTGTTCCTATTGTTTGCTTTGAATTAGAGGACCTTAACAAAAAAAACGGCAGAAGGGTACTACTCAGGACCCTAAACCCCCATAGTATAGCTCCCTTCTAGAACCCTTAACGAGCCCTTTAAGGAACCCTTTGAAAGGGTACTACTCAGGAACCTAGAAGCTGACGACGGAGGGCAAAACGCCGGCCGCGGACATGTCCTTTGCAAGGCTTGGGTTTAGGGCTCCTTTCCTTTCAGAGTTGGGTGGTTGTCAAAATTAGGGTCCCTTTTTGGGTACCCGAAATATTAGGTGCCGTACTATACCTTAACTTTGACAACCACCCAGTTCCTTTAAGGCTTCCACAAGGGCCACTACGGCGTGCTAGGGCTTGGGTCGATGGTTCGGCGTTGAGGGTGAACTGTTGAGAGCTTTCAGTTTCTGGTTTAGGAGGGCTCAAACCTAATCCTCCTGAACCGAACCCGGAATCCAATTGCCGCAAAACGGTTTAGGGTTTAGGGTTTAGGGTTTAGCCGAACATTAGTACTAACAAACCGACCACCCCTCCTGGGCACTTCAAAACCTCAGTCAAAAACCTCGTAAGCCAACTCAAGATGCTTAGCTTTGCCGACTGTTCAGACCCGTCTTACATTACTGAACCCTCAACCCAAAGCTTCTACCCCGAACCCTAAACCCCCCAATAAGATTCTATAATCCTAAACCCTAAACCAACCCTCAACCCTGATCCATTAACTCCCCACACCAACCCTAAACCCTATATCCGAAACCGGCCCAAAACCGTAAACCCCAAACCCTAAACCGTTATGACACCATGTAAGACATGATTCGGCAAGCAGTTCGAAAGCCAGCTGCCAGAATCCCCGCTGGGCGGTAGCGCTGATGACTGCGTTGAACCTCTGGAGTCGTACATAGTCTTTATCAGGGCTCTGTAGAAGGGTTTCATAGGCTTTTTGCGAAGGTTCTAAAAGAGTTGTGTATGGTTTTCACAAGGGTGTTGCCTGTCTGAGGCTCAACATTTGGGTCGGGTTTGGGGCTCTTCGGGATTTTGGTTTCTAGACGAGTGCTGATATTGCGAGCCCTCTTTAGGGCTTCGGGTGTTTTAAATTGCGAGTCCTTAGGGCTTCGGGTGTTGTTTTTGCCTTGGAGGTTCGGTGGCTTTTAGCATCGACAGCATCATATACGTAGTATAACTTTAAGCATTGCCATCTGTCCTGCTCTTGTGTGTGCTAGCTATCACGATAAATCATGCTTACTACCCCTGTTTTTTACGGCACTTGCTGCCGATCTTCACATGGAATCCCAAAGGGCCCAAGATTTTCGGACAGGAGGCCAGGAAGGTACCCCCTTCTTGGGCTTAGACGGGTGGGGGCCATCCTAGGGTTGCCAGGTGATTCAGCGTTTCGGCTTCAAAAACTACACTCTAAACCCTTAACCCTAAGGCCTCAACCCCGAACCCACAAACCCAAAACTCTAGAGCACATGCTGCGGCCGAGGTTCGTGATGACGTTCGGTCGCACCCGGGCCAACTTCATGGAAGCGAGCAGCGATATCCTCGGGCAAAGAAGGACCCTGAAGTTTGACTTTGTGGATGTTCTGTGGGATTTATGCTTTAAGGGCTTTTGGGGTTTTGGACTCAGGGTTTAGGGGTTGCAACAGCTTGGGGGTTTAGGGTTTAGGGGGAAAACCCCAGAGTGACAACTAGTGCCCCCAGACTGGCAATTTGGGGTATAGAGAATTAGGTTACCGCCCCACAGACACCCTTCCCCTGCATCCGCTTTGAGGGCGGGTCCGGAGTCAAAGATATGGAGTCCAAGGATTAGGCGGCTTAGGGCTTGGGGTTTTGGGTTTAAAGTTTGGGCCTAGTTCGGGCTTTGTTAAAGCTTGGGCTTTAGCGTTGAGGGTACATGGTTGAGGGTTCATGGTTTGCTGATGTGTGGTTTGGAGTTTGGGGTTGAGGGTATAGGGTTGAGGGTGAGCGGGGGAACTTATTAGTTCAGGCTTTCCGGTGCAGGGCTTACCCTAAGGCTCAAACTAGCCCGGGCCCAAAAGGCTTAAAATATGAGTCCTTAGAGCCGAAGGGTTTCAGTTTCATCCCAAACCCTCAGTATAGAACCCTTCATGTCTTATATGCCTGGTTCCCTTATAGCACCCTTTAAAGGAGCCCTCTAAAGGAACCCTTTAGTGTACTCCATGGGCCGTGGTTCGCACGCTGCCACTCCAAAGCCCTGTCGCAGGCGCCCGCCGCCGCGCTGAAGCTCACCACACTCGGCGCAAGCAGCACAGCCTTGGAGGGGTAGTTATAAGGGTTCCTTTAAGGGTCCCTTTCAAGGGATCTTTCGGGATTCTATAAGGGTATAGGGTTTAGGGTCTACTTGGAGGTTCATGCAGAGTTATAAGTGGAGTTATAAGTAGGCTACCTATATGTATAACCCATATTAGGGGACTTATAACTCCACTTCTAACTACCCATGAGCCTCCAAGTAGGGTCAAGAGTCCGGGCGTAAGGGCTCGGAGTTTAGGGATGTCGAAGCCCCCAAGCCCTACCCTAAACCGCTGTTGGGGGCTTCTGCCTTCCTGCTTCGGGCCGAATTTCGGAGTTTTTGAGCTTGGAGCCCCGATGCCAAAGCCACCAAAGCTGCTCTGAGCACCGTCGCCCACTGTGGTTCAAGGTCTGCGGCTTTCAGTCTGAGTGATTTGGGGTGTAGGCCTTATTTGCAGGGTTTGGAGTGTAGAGTTTAGGGTTTTTTTCGGGGTACACGTGAGGATGCAGAGATTTCATGGATGTGGGGCCAAACTATGGCTTTGAGGCGCAAGGCTTTGACACCTGAACGCTGAACCCTGAAGCCCCAAGCCCTAAACCCTAAAGCGAAAACCCAAATCCGCCCATACCCGAAGCCCCAAAACCTCTATACCCAATACGCTACACCCTACACCCTGAACCCAACGCTTGCAGGGTCCAAGGCTCAGGATTCTGAGTCAGTAGACGGCCGTAAAAAAATGCAAGGGAATTTTTCGGACTTTCACCATCAGGCTTACTACAACGGCATCTATGAGGGTAACCAAAGGGCACGAAAAGGCCCAAGTACGGTTCAATACCAAGGCATAAGATCAGTGAGAACCACTGCGAACCGTCTAGGCTAAAGGATCACAGCTTTGCGTCGAAGAAAAAGACGGGCAACGGCAGCAATAACGACATAGCAAACAACACAACACCAAGAATCAAGCGATCAAGAAAAACAGTAGCAGGACCACTCTTATGGCAGCTCATTGTCTTCCTGTGGCCCACGAGCGCTTTGAGCTACTATAGGGGCCTTAATAGTTAGAATAGAGTTTTGGAGCCCATTATACTCTAATTATACTAGGAACTCCCACAATAGTATATCTTCTTCTTCTTGCGGACAGTAGAGCCGTGATTACGGCGCGTCCCAAAACTACATGCTAGGAATTCTGGTGAGACAAAGAGGGCTTTTTCAGCCAGAAACGACACGCAGACTCGCGGACACCCTCCACACTAGCCGAGGCGATGTGGCGATCGACCCAGGCTATGTCGCTCTCGCGGGGCTCAAATCGAACCACCAGGGAAGCGAGATCCACATCCTCGGAGAGGTAATTGTCCGGCCTGCGTTCAGCCGCGGTTGGCAGGCGTGGTCCGAAGGTCACGGGCGCCGGACGAGGACCTGGGAGCGCCTGGAAGGCTTGCCAACGGCCAGCCGCGATGAGCTTCTGTCGTTGCTTGTCTGGCGCCTCCAGTCGACGCACATCCTCGATCGACAGCGGGGGGATGAGGCGACTGGCGCGCCTAAGGCACTCAGGAGCGTGTCGGAGATGCATCTGGACCTGAGTCACGTTCCGAAACCACTTTATGCAAGAAATGCAGGTATCGGATACGGCATAATGGCGGGCAGGGGCAAATTGCCGGTGTGATCGGGCCATATGTGCATGCAGATGTTTGCGGAGCACAAATCCATCACCGCATGTATCGCAGATGAAAGGACGAGGGACAGTTGGGCGCCGGTCGGCGACACTGTGCAACCGCTGGACACGCCAAGCCTCGAGGTCCAAAAGGAAGGCCCTTTCAGCGGCGGTCACCTGCTGCAGCCACCACTTGGGCCGTTCAAAGGTGGCTTCAAGCAGATCAGCAACAAGGTGCTGTGGCCGAAAAAAGGTAAGAGCCGTGGGCACGAAAGCACCGACACAGCGAACGTCGGACTCAAGCTGTCCTAACCAGGACGAGGCAGGATGCGTGACCCAGTGATCATGAAGGAAAACCCTCAGCGCTAGCGGTCCATTCCGGAAGAGCCGGACAAGGAACTGTGCGCGCGCCTTAGCCAAAGCAAGCGGCGGAGAAGCAGCCCTGGCAGTACGAAGTACTTCGTAGGAATGTGCCTGCTTCTCTGCGGAGACACGCTTGAGAAGGTTACGCAAGAGCGCAACATAGTACCTTTCCCAGAGGCGGTTGCTCTCAGCAGTGCGCAACACAAGTGAAGCACTTGTGTGAACAAACTTCGACACCACCAAGGAACGCAGAAGAACACGCCTGGTGGCCAAATCGAAAGCCGGAGAAGAAAACAGCCTGCGCCGGAGAGAACGAGCCAGCCCCGCAGCACGAGAGTAACGAAAGTGCAAATCCGGGGCAGTTGCACAATTCGAGACGACAATACCCCCGAGATGGCGGTAAGATAGGCAGATGAACAAGGCCTTCCCCGAGCGGGTCGGGCACGGGCAACAGGTGAAGGCCTTCGTCGTTAACCTGAAACTGAGGCATGGCAAACCGTTCCACCGAGGAGCAGCACAAGGCGGCGGTCTTATCCACTCCGAACTTAATCGTCATCCCCAGGGAACGCCCGTGGGTCACCACTAGCTGGGTGCAGCGAGCAACTCTCACTACAAGGTCTGTATGTGAGGTCCCAGTTTGTGGGAGCGTGAAATCATCTGCCCATGCTGGACTTCCGAGACATGACGCAGAGTCGTCGTCCGCCCACAGGGGGCGGTTCCGGCAGTGCGGCAAATCGGGGAGCATGTCCGCCTCCCCAAGGGCCTGCGACACCGACTTGAGGTAGGCCGACAGGGTGACAGCAAACAAAGCATCGGCAAGCGGGTCTCCAGGGCGAGATCCCCGCTTCGTAAGCGTGAGAACAGCGTCCCCGCTGACTCTAAACCATGTTCCTGTAAATAGGTCACGCACCAGGGAGTGGAGGTGTTCAGACGCTCCAAGAGTCGGGAGCTCTGCAAGGAGATGAAGCTTGTCTTTCAGTTCCGTGAGAGCTTGCGGGGGAAGACGAAGCTTGTGCAGAAGCTGCAACAAGGAAGCATCAGACTCCACATTGCCAGCTATCGTTTGGCGGAGAACCGCGTAGTATGCAGTTTGCAAGTCAAAAAAGACAACCGCCCAGGGGCGACGTTGTGCGCCCATCAAAAGCTGAAAGCTTTTGATGGCAAGGACCGGAATCTCAATGCCAGCTCCGGCGGTGGCACCAGCCATCAAGGGAGGCTGACTCTCTTCGAGAAGAGGGGTGAGATGGGAGCGTATGCCACGATGGTAGACCTTCCCCATAACATTGGCAACCAGGACTGAGCGGTAGTGAGAGCAGGTGAGTGCAACGCCGGCTTTTTTGGCAACCAAAACCAAGTCGCCACCTCGCCACGCGACTGGCTCGCGGATGGAGAGGGAAGATTTCAGCATCAGAGGGAGAAGTTCCCTAGCCGACAAGGCAGGACGGAGTTTCAGAATCTCAGCCGTGACACCGTCGGGCCCACACGCCTTGCCGTTCTTCAATGAAAGGATTATGGACTCCGTTTGGAGCAGACCAGGAAGAACAGAAGCATCGAAGACAAAGTGCTCACATGGCCTATGATACTGCTGGAAGGCAGCAACATACTCAGAGGGTGTGACCTCAACGCCTGCCTCCTGATCCGCGAAATGGTTCCTCCAACAAGCCGCACGTTCAGATGCAGTAGTTGCAAGTTCACCGGAGGGAAGTTCCAGGGCTGGAAGAGGGCAAGTGCCGGATCTCTTAGCGGACCGGGCAGCGGGAAATGCCCGGCGAATGGCTGCCTAAAGTTCTTTGGGATTCCGGGTGTCGATGCTTGAGGCAGTGGAGACAAGGCCTTGAAGGTATCGTCGCCTACCTTGAGAGACAAGGCGGCGCAACTGCAACCCGTGATCACGGAAATAGGCCCATGCAACAGCAATGCTGTGGTCCATGGCCGCGATCCAATGATCCGCAGTGGCCCTAGCAGCAGCTGTAAACCGTCCACCGGAACATGCCAGCCGGAAGGCGGCAAAACCGATGAGAAGACGCCGACGGCAGGTCTCTTTCTCCTCCTGCCGGAGATAGACACAGAGAGCCCGGCGACGTTGGATAATCGGGAGGGCCTCAGGGGGCACATAAGGAGCACGCGGAGCAATCGCAGCATCATCAAGAAGCTGCGTGCCGGCAGCACACCAGGACTGGGAGAGAACCTGACAGTGCAGGTCCACATCAAGGGACCAAGGCAAGCAGGGAATGTGGGCAAAGGCACCAGAGACACGTGCAGACTCTGTAGTGGTACGGGGGAGGCCAGGGCGGATCGCACGACGACGGCTGTCAGTGTAAGAGGTGGGCTTACCCTTATACCCGAAAGCACAGCTTAGGGCAACCGGCTTATGGTCCTCTCGGAGCTGTAGGGCCTCGAAGTTCTGCAAAACCGAGGTGGTGAGACCATATGTAGACCAGGCTTGCGGGGTAACGATGTAATCTATCCTATGACGGCCGCCCAGGGCAGACCGCCACGTGGTGGAGGGCCCCTGATGGTGTGCGCTGAAAGTTGCTGGGACATATCCTCCCAGCTGAATGACGAATGTGTGGAACAGGGAACCCGCTTCCTGTTCCTCCTCACCATCATGATCTCCCACACTATCTGAAACTGCGCTTCCAAGACGCGCATTGGCGTCAACTAAGATCAAGAAGTCAGATCCGTCGGGGCGTCGGGATATCTCGCGGCAGCGTTGGTCCCAGAAGGAGGAAACTTCGGCATAGGGGTGCTTCGACAGTGACGGAGCATGCAGCACAGCAACCATAAGCTGAAGGCGGGGTGCGGAAATCTGCACTATCAGATGTCGATATGAGAAACCAACGACAGTGACATGAGATGGGTGGAAGACAAGGCTTTCAGAGCCCTGAGTGGCGTAAGGAATGCGCCGCGAAAGCCACAAGGCGCACCCTCCAACACCTTGGTCGTTGGCCCGAGACTGAAAGATATAGTAGGAGTCATCATGCTGGGTGATGTCATCTGGAAGACGGGTCTCCTGGAATCCGACTATGTTCGGGCTGTACTCTTCCAGAGAGCGCTGCAAGACATGTTTGCGGCCAAAGAGGCGAAAGCCCACATCATTGCTAAGCGTGGTAGTGACAGCTCCGTGGCCAGGGAGGGTAGGGTCACGCATGGTAAGGACATTGAACGACACCACACGGAGGTCACATCTAACATCCTCAGCCGGGCGCGTGGTGGTCCGAATGCCCTGCATGGGCGCAACAGCAGGCAGGGCACGGTGCGATTGGAGGCGTCGAGCTTCAGACTCAAAGGTGTAGCACGACAACATGTCGGGGCCAGAACAGAAGAACGTCCAAGCCCATTGGCGGAGATCGTGGGCAGCGAAGGCAGAGACCCATTGTGGCAGACAGCGCTGCCATGGATCATCCGAGAGGCACCGTACCCATTTCGAGAAGAGATCCGCAAGCTCGTTGCCCAGACTGCTGGTGATGTAGCGGAAGAAGCGCTGCGGCAAGATGCCGCAAAGAACCCGCAAGACTGGAAAGCTGTTGGTATTCTTTATCTGCTCCCACAGGCGATTTGGAGGATCCAAAAGCACCACCTCCTGCGCTGCATGCGTCATAGAAGAGGGTGGCCGGAACGGCAAATCGGTGGCCGACCTCGATCAGCCATGCCAAAGCCCAACAAAGAGCCATAAGTTCGGCAGTCAACGCATCGTGCCGGCATTCCCCGAGGTACCATGGGGTGCCCAAGTGCGTCGCGACCGCTTCGGAGTGTCCAACAAAGTAACGAGCACCGCCACAGAGGGCCCAAACATTGAAGGACCAAGCACAGGGACTAGGATCCAAGGGATCTCTTGGGGCCGACCCGTCAGTATATATGGCAAGGGAGTCCGGGGCTGGCTGCCCAGCATCATGCCAGCAGACAGTACGCAGGACAGCGCCCAGGACAGGCTCCTTCACACGACCTGACTCCACCAGGCTGCAAAGATCATTGTCCAGCCAATCCAGGTCAGGATCGTAGCCGAAGCCATGACTGGGCAAGCAGGACTGCAACCCCAGGCAAGATGCTTGGTAGGAGGTAACCGGCACTGTGTCAGCAAGTGAGATGCGACTAGATCCCGGCAGGGGCGGATCCGCAGAAGAGGCAGCCTGTGGCCGGGGTCTTAGCAGGTCAGTCGCAAGGGGAATTGCATGGTGGCCAGTATCTGCAGGGCTGGGAATGTGACCGAGACGCCTGCGACAGGGCGTGGCAACAGATCGAACAGCGCTACCGGCGGTGAGGGCAGCAGCGATCTCAGCAGGAGAAAGTCCACGAGACAGAGGCCCGCTGGTTTCCGGCGGTGCCGCAGCGACCGCTGGAAGAGTGCAGAGAAGAGCGACAAGGAAGATCCACAAGAACAAGGGTCTGTTCGCAGATAGTCCCCGAGGCAGTATGCAGCCAGCACAGCAAATAAGGCTCGTAATCGCGCCAAAAACGCGGGCAGCAGCAGACAAAATTGCGATCGGGAGGCAACTCAGCCATATCATCGCAACGGCACTCCTCAGAAAGAAGGCGGTGAACATTGGGCCAAGAAGAGCGAAAAGCTGCCGCCACAGAGCGATTCTGCAGTTAACACCCGAAAGCGCCAAGGGATGGCAGCAAGCAATGCACACAGGGCACAGACTACGGGAGCGCCCAACAAGGAGATGCGGAGGTGACGAAGTGAGGGGTGGCACAACATGCAGGAGGATAGAGGTGAGCACCAGACAGCAAGGCTGTTGACACTTAACTACTCGACTGACATGACAAGGGTGGGTGCAGCACGTGGCTCACACGCAAAGGCTGTCCGGGTGGTGGCACCGAAGGCTGCAGTGGAGGAGCCCCCGGTACCCGCATCAGGGCTGCGAAGCCCGGCTGTGACAATGGAGCCCGGAAGCGGGGCAGAAGAGGAAGAATCAGACGGCTCTTCCGGATCTGACCCACGACTGACAGTGACCGGGATCCAACCGTTGGCTGCGAAGTCAGCTAGGACAAAATCAACGACCAAAACCTGCCCATCGGCAATGACTATGTCGGCTGATAGAGGCGCAGGAAACTGGTCATGGGTAGATACTGCAACGGTGTGTCCAGGAGGGCACCGAGGCTGGAAGCGCAGTAGGAGCCTTTGGTGGTCAACACGCCCCTCAGCCACAGTAATCCACGACATCCCAAGCAGAATAGGTCGCAGATCCAGAAAACAGACAGGTGGCCTGTCTCTGGGAACAGAGCGTCGGTGCCCTGTAAGGATTGCGAGAACAGCTCGCATGGCATGTCCATCTCGATAGAAATCGGCATCATTGAGAAGGGCAGGCCTCAGATCCAGTGCCGCAGGGCTGCTGTGGAGAACAGCAGCAATGTCCGCACGCAGTTCCTGTCGCCGGCCGGGCGGGACAAGATATTCAAAGTTCGACTGTGCGGACATGACCCAGATAAAGTCATGGCGGTCGGACGGCAGATGTGGTTCTGCATGCCAGGCATCTGGGTCTTGGAGCATGTCAGAAAGCTCGACTACAGCGAAGGGGATGTGATCAGGAGGTAAAAAATGTACTGAATGTACTGTATCACCGTCCCTAAGTGTTGCCCACTGCAGGTCTGGCACTGGCCAGGGCAGAGTCCCAACAAAGACCAAAGTGCCATCGGCCTCTGTGATTGAGGCAACGCGGAGCAGGTCGTCTCTTGACTGCCGAGCTGGTAGCGTTATAGCAAAGAGCCGATCGTTCAAGAGCCTGCTGTCAATGAGGACACAAACTTGGTTGGTCCATACTGGGATCGAGACAAGTGTAGCCAGGCCCGGGACTGTTTGGGGGACGCATGGGAGCAGTCGCGGGAATCTGAGACGGTGTAAAGGATGCCGACACGCAGAGACTTGTTCCAGGGCGCGATGCACAGTGACTGGCAAAGGAGTCCTAACCTCAACATGCTCAGGGGCATAGTCGCGTGAAAACACAAAGAAAGAAGCACTGATGTGCGAGGCTAATACCACTTGAATGTCCAACATACCATCCCTGGCACAATACATGCGCCATCCTGCAAGGAGAGAGCGGCAATCCAGAAGCACATGTGCGTCATGATTGGACGCAGCTGCATCAGACACCGCAATGACAGCGTGGCAGAAATGTCCGTCCAAAAAGGCATCACGAACCTGGGGCCGTGCTGGTTGGAGCCGCAGATGACGCAAAGAGTAGCCCAGCGCGTTGGCAATGTGATTCCTATATTGCGTCGGTTGCGCAAAATCGGTCTGAAAGAGGACCATGGCCTCAGGCGTAACCAGGCAGTAGGCGGGTGTTCCAAAAACCGATGGCAGCTCGATGCGCTCAAGCCACTCCCTGGAAACTCTGAGGAGAATTTCAAGGGTAGAAGAGACACGTGGCGGCTCGGAGAGTGGCCTGTAGGAGATCACATCTCCAGAACGCAGATGGACAGAGGCATCAGGGCCTAGGGAATCTGAGAGAGGCCCAACACAAACCTCAATTGAGCGCTCAACCGGAAGTGTGACCAGCTGAAGGAGTTGAGATCTGTCCACATAGGCGGGAGCTTCAATGGCCAGAAGGCGACCATCAATGGCACGCATATCAGCGCAAACCAGAACCTTGAGAGTGGGCCAGTCCGGCACAGCAAGAAAGGATGCGGCACCATAAATTGGTTGGGGGTGCAATGGCACCAGGCAGGGAAAACGCTGAAGTGCTGTGGGATGGCGAGCTGTCTGTGCAGCAGCAATACACTGGCCGACCGTAGCCGGCAACTGTAAGGCGATGGACAACACTTCTGGGGCATACAACGGCGCTAAGATGACCGTCGCAATCCACTGTGTTCGGAGGTCCTCCGGGTCGGAATCCGAGGAATGCGAGCCCAACTCATCAGTCCTTGTGCCGTCAGGAGTAAGCACTGGCCAAGTCCCCCCAAGCACTCGTGTGGCACGGCGCAAGTCGGAGATGAGCCTTTGCCCGGTCACAGTCGTATCAGTAGGCTCCTGAGAAAGCTTGTGGCCATGAGGCTCGCACCGATGAACAGGATGGCAGCAGGGGTTACTGTAATCTAAACCCGAAGGCCATGTCAAACGAGGCGAGAAGTAGGAAGGCCAGGGCTCCTTGGGGAGCAGCAGAGAGAGGCAAAAGGCAGGGCTAAACCCGAAGGGGGAAGGGAATGACAAGGAGCCGTCAGAGATGGGCATACATCAGCAGGATGAAAGTTTTGTCGCACTAAGATGTCTTCGCTTGGCGGAGGACTCGGAGTACGAAGAAGTGCATGTTACGTGGCCTGGCTAGCGGAGGAATTTCCATGCCAAAATAAACATACACTGTTTTTTGTTCCGACGGAGGAATTAGTGACGTCCTTGCCTGACATCGCGATTTCGTGAAGGAGTCTATGGGGGAAAGGGGTTTGCAAGTATCTGTTAGCAGACCTACCGGATGCGACGAACTTTCGTCCTGGCGCAGTATGCTCAAATTGACCAGAAGTCCCGACGTGAGCTGCACAAGGCACTGTCGCAACAAGGAGGCATATTGTGGCACCAGGGGTGCCGTGAGCATGTGCTGCTGTGCGCGAAGAGCCGGTCGGCAATCGGTTGCGCCGTCGCTTATTGGGTCTCGCTGGGGGAGACGGTGACGAGCTTGAACTGGAAGATGATGAATCGTCATCCTCATCGCCGTTTCCATGATCACCGTCGGGGCCATCATGCGATGGACCATCCGAAGCAGGGGAAGTGGAAGAAGGTGGAGGTGGAGGCTCAGAGGGCACGTATTCAACAGTGAGCGTGGATCTATGCTCAACCCTCAGCATAGTCTGATCACCGATAAGTTCAGCCGAACCACCCAGGACACTGACCCGATAGCCCGCTGGCACGTCAACGCCGAACTCCCTCTCTAAACGAGAAAGGCTGACGTGGTTCCCCTCAACAACTTGCCAGGACATACCCTTAAAAATAAGGCGAAGATCTAAGAAGACGACGCCTTGCAGTCTGGGAACACGTCCTGGAGGCACAGGTACTGCAGGCAGAGTCTCCGTGACAACAAGCACAGCATGGCATGGACGTCCTCCAGGTGCACTGTTACCGATACGGGGGCTAGGTGTATGTACTGAAGTGCGATGAACCTGACCCAGCAACCTGGCACACACAAGGTGACGGAAATCAAGTTCGCACTGAATGGTACGACGTTCAATCTCGAGGACAATCGGCATGCCATCAGTGAGAACGTGGTAGACCCAACGAGGAGGGGTAACAGAAAGCGCAAGGGAAGACCGCCAGGTCGAGCGCGACAGGAGCATGGAATCCAGGGTGAGCAGTGGCGCAATCTCAGCAGAGGCAGATAGCACCGTGACAACATCGCCCTGGGAAAGCATCACCGGTCTGCCGGGCGTAAGCGGTATGCCACGCACAAAAATGGTGATCTGTTAGCTCATATCCGAGACGGGACAGGAAGACTGACCATTGTGTCCAATTATCAACGACGGCAGCATAAAATTTGCCAAGCAGTTGACGTGAGTCAACCAAGACGCAATTGCATCCTTCTGCCCAAGGCGGCAAAGCAAGCAGGGTGGCAAACTCTTTGTCGGGCTGCGGGAACACTGGGACCAGGAGATCTGTGCTGGCGTCCCATGGTCCAACCCTGAAAGTCCTGAGAACCCGGAGGGATTCTTGCACCGAAAGTGGAAAGGAGAGGTCAAGCCAATGCACTTCAGGGATGCAGTCCGGTGTCAGGAGAACAAAAGGGACAGGATCCGAGGCCGAAGAGTCGGGCCCCGTGTAAGGGGATTCGTCTTCCTCGGGTGCAAGGGCAGGAGAAGACACGCCGCGCGGCAGCTCATCGGTCGCTGTACCGGGGGCATGCTCCGGCGAGTCTGCTGCAGTAGGCACAGCGTGTGTGCTGTAACCGACAACAATGGCACCGGAAAAGGAAGAGGACAAGTGGCCACCAACGGTACTAGGAGAAAGAACCCTAGGGGCAAAACCATCCGGGGGCCTAGTATCAGCAACCTCCAGAACGACGTCGGAAGACAAGGGTGCGGTGTTAGTGAACATGTGTGTGACATCACGGCCAGTTGGGCGCAGATCCAAGAAGCGAGGAACATCCCGTGGAGGTTCAAACGCCACCAGTTCTGATCTGAGCGCAACAGCGAGCAAGCCATGCACTGCTTGACCAGCATAGGCAACCGAGTCGCTGAGGGCACGCGGAGCAGGCTCAATGGTGAGAAGCTCCGCATGAGAACGTAGACGGGATGCAATAATCTGGCGTAGTGCGTCGTCAAGAACACCATCATGTGTGATAAAGACGATCGACCTCTCATGCAGCACCGCCCATCGAGTGGGTTGATCCCCGTCGCCGTAGACATATGGCGCATCTCGCCAAAGTTCCTCCTCAACCAGCATGTCAAGGAAACGGGGCTGCCATGGCGGGGGTGAGTTATGGATGGGCCTAAACTGGACAACATATCCATCCTCAACCGAAGGCCTAGAAGAGGACCGGAGGGGATTGGTATCGGTTCCCAGATAGGCATCCCAGGGCACACCAAGATGCTCGGAGGCTAGGTACTCGAGATCAGAGAA